GTCCGTTGCCACTGGGCCAGGCAAGGTCACTGGAGCTGCCCCTGCTCTCCCTGCCCGTCCCCACTGCAACAGCAACGCCCGAGGTGATCTTCTGAGTTTTGGAGACCGAATCACTGTGAGAAAATCAAAGCGCTTTGGAAAAAAAAAGCCTGTGCTATTCCCCTGCCTGACTGAGAAACCAGGGGAATGGTCCCTGGGCTCAAATACTTGCCCAGGGCTGTGCCACGATGTGGAAACAGCTTTGGAAAAATCCCTCTGGGTGCCCGAGTGCAGGGTCTGGGGAGCCTGAACCCCTGGGCAAAGCCAGCCTGGAGCAGGAGCCCAGGAGCTCCCAGCCAGCGGGGAATTAGGAGCCCGGGGGCCAGGACAGGGGCTGGGGGGCGTCTCTGCCTGCCCTGGCCAAGGACTTAACCAGGCTGAGCCTCCCGGCGGTGGAGCCTGCCTGGGCCCATTGACATGATAATACTGTTAAACTTCAGCAATTTGGAAAACAATCAGCCCGTGAGAGCCCAAAGGGGGATGCTGGAAACCCCAAGTAGCCTTCGAGGTCACTGCCCTGTCCCAGGCAGGGTTCCCTCCACCTTTTGCCCACACTCTGATATTTAATCTGGATTTTTTTTTTCAAGAAAAATTGGATTCATGACTGGCTGTACCACTGTTGGCTACAGCCTTGCCCTTGGGGCTTGGCTCTGGCTCTCCTGAGCAGCAACTGGGTGCAAGCAGCACCACGAGAACACCCAGCGCCCGACTGTTGGTGCCACGTGGTGAGAGGAGCCGTGGTGCTCTGGGGCATCAGGATGGGGCTCACAGCACTGGAGAACAACACTCTTGGGCCAGGAGGAAGCCTCCCTGGGCTACGTAGACAGCTCTTGCTCAGGCAAAAGGAGGGAATAATCCCCATGGGGAGAGCTGAGACAACAGGAGCTGCCACCCAGAGCAGCCAGGGCTGCTCCTGAACCCTGGCCAGGCTGTGCGTAAAGAGCAGGAGCAAGAGCTGAAGAAATGGGCTGAAGAAACAGGAACCTCATAAAGTTCAGCAAGCAGAAGTGCAAAGTTCCCTGGGGAGGACCAACCTCATTCACCAGCATGTGCCAGGGGCACCCCCCAGGCAGCAGCATGGCAGGAACTGCCCCGGGGGTCCTGGGGGGCACCACATTGACCACGAGCCAGCAACACGCTCCCGAAACAAAGTGGGTGACCCGTGTCCTCGGGCACAGACTTCATGGCCGGTGGTCGGGCACAGCATTGCTGGCAGGTGGAGGGTCCTTCCCCTCTGCTCAGCACTGGTGAGGCCATCCATGGGGTGCTGGGTCCAGTGCTGGGCTCCCCAGTATGAGAGAGACAGGGACATACTGGAGAGAGCCCAGTGAGGATGATGAAGGGGCTGGAGCATCTCTGCTCCAAGGAAAGGCCGAGAGAGCCAGGGCTGTTCAGCCTGGAGAGGAGCAGGCTCGGGGCGGGTCTCATCCGTCTGTATAAATACCTGGAGGGAGGGTGCAGAGAGGACGGAGCCAGGATCTTCTCAGGGGTGCCCAGGGATGGGACCAGAGCCCACGGGTGCAAACCCACACGCAGGAGGGTCCCTCTGAACATCACGGAACATTGCTCCGCTGTGAGCAGCTCCTTTAAACTGACCCCAGAAGGATGGTTATTTTCTTAACTTGGTGCCCCCTCTGCCCAAAGCACTTCTGAAATTAAACGTCCAGTTGTATTTTGGTGCCATTTAATACCTTTGAAATGACTGTGTCAGGTCGGGTCGACCTCCTGGCCATGGTTCTTATGATGCAGCCCAGGATGTGATTGGAAATTGCCAGCTCACGTTCAATTTTGTCACCCACCAATACCCCCAAGCCCTTCTCCGCAGGGCTGCTCTCGACCCATCCATCCCCCGGTCTGTGCTGGTACTGGGGATTGCCCTGACCCAGGTGCGGGACCTTGCACTGGGCCTGGCTGATCTTCATGGGCTCAAGTAATTTGGGAGTTTGCTGATGTTTCTCCCTCTTTGGACGAAGTGCTTCACCAAAGCAGATGAAGTTTCGGGGTGATGCGATGCTGACAGCACAGGAGAACTGCCCCATCCGCCTGTGCTGGTGGCACCAGGGGCCTCCCAAGAGCAGCAGCTGAGGGAAGATGTGGGCTGGTGTGACAGAAAGGCTGCCCTCCAGCCTCCGCTCTGCTGCAAAACCTGGGAAGCCAACAGCTGAGCAAAGCCAGGGCAAGGGGCTCAGTTAGTACCAGGACTGAGAAAAATCCTACAAAGTGTAGAAAGAGCTCTGAGCACCACTGGACAAACTGGTGTGTCTCCCTGGGTTCTGGTTCCCACTGTAGGTAGAAGTAGACACTGACAGAGTGTGAGAACAGAGCTCACGGGAGAGATGCTCCCGGCCAGACACCTTGAGCCACATGTGGCTCCTGCGTGCCCGGGGATGGCCACGTGCAGCCTGAGCACCGTCCCCTCGCTGCCCCCCTGCTCCAACCTTGTCTGGCCGGGCCAGAAAGGTGAGCGGGTCTGAGCTGCCAAACCTCCCCACTGATCTGCTGAGGAGGCTTCTGCTTTCTCTTTCTCTTATTCAAGGTGTGGGCGACAAAAGGACCCAGGCAATGGCCAAACAGTGGTCCCTCTTTTAATCTCCTTTCTTTCC